AATTCGCAGTGATTCTTTGATTGCAGAGGATGCTGCACCTAGGGAACAATATCATGCCTGAATCTCCTTTGTGGCATGTCATGAGGTAATCCTTGAGACTAGCATCTCCAGTGTGATTATCCTCCATTCTATACTTTTCTTTTTCTAAGTATTTTTCTACTTCCTCCATCTCAGAGCGAGGCCTCTCCATATCCACCATATTTATTTCAACATCTTCCCCCTTAGCTTCATCATCGCCCCATCCTGTGGGCTTTATATCCTTAATCTGAACCTTCGAACTCTCTGGGGCAGAATATTTGACCAAATAGTCAAATTTTCCACTGGGTTCCCCTAGAGTGTCCCATATTTCCTTCTGAGGGGAAATTGGCTTCGTGATTTGGACTTTCTCCAATTCCAGCCTCAAGCCTTCAGTGACTTGTGTTAGTTCTTGGTTTTGATTTCCCTGGCCTTCAGTAGCCTGGGTTTCTCTTGCAACAGCTACAGGTGCGGCAATCAAAGTCTCTGGCGTATTCTGGATGTCTTCAGTGACCTCCTTATTAACTTCGACCATCACCCAGTTTTCAGTTTCAGTACCCTTCTCTCCTGTTAGGGCGTCGCTTTGATCAGTTTCCACCATGTTGATCTCTCCAATGCATGCAGGCTGGAGTAGTTGGTGTTTGCGACGTCCAAGGGATCTTCGTCCACTTTCATCTTCACCTTATCAGCAAACTTTAGTCTGCCATCTTTGATCGCGTTTTGAATTAGGTCCCTGAAAAGAAAACATTGTGAGGTTTTGTGGCCTAGGAAACTATGATATTTGCAAAATCCTCTCTTCTTTCTCTGATCCAAAGGAGGTATTTTGACATTTGATGGCACAATTAGTTGGCCATCTTTGACAAGTAAGTCAAAAATCTCGTCACATTTAGTGACATCGAAGGTATAAACCTTCTTTGGGAATTTGTCACTTTTCTCATTTTCAACATTCTCTTTCCCTTTTGTGGGAACCAATAATTTGCAGGAATAAGGCGGAGCCTGTTTTAATTCAGCGAGGTCGATTTCGACCTCTTCGAATTCGAATTCAGGATATTCTTCTGCTTCCTCGGTCCCAACATAGGAAATCCTTTCTTTCTTGCTATTCTTAAAGACTCTGTCTTTTTCGGCCTTTAGCCTTTCGACCTGTCGAACCCTATCGGCTAACTGAGCCATATCCCTTAAATATTGAGTGTCTAGTTTCTTTCGAATAGAATAATCCAAGCCACCAGCGGCCATTTCGACTAACTCATGTTCAGGCACTACTGTGTAACATTTGGATTTCAAAAGCCTAAATCTATTCAGATAATCATCTATGGGTTCAGTGAACTTTCTCTTAACACTGGCCAATTCCTTCAAGCTTATTTTCGACTGTCCCATGTAAAATTGTTCATGGAATAATCTCTCCAAGAGAGCCCAAGTATCAATGGACCCAGGAGGCAAAGTGGTAAACCATGTGAAGGCGTTTTTAGTCAAGGAACTTGGGAAGTATTTGATCCTGAGATCTTCATTATTGGCTATATCTTCCGCTTCGGTTAGATATCTCGCTATGTGTTCGACTGTTGACTCATTGGTATCCCCAGCGAACTTTGTAAATTTAGGGACTTTATATCCCCTTGGTAAATCAGTATGCATTATGCAATCCAATATAGGAGAAGCATAATTTGTCCTTCTCATTCCTGTGTTGAGGCCATTCTGGGCCATGACTCTCTCTATCATGGTGGTTAGATTGTTTTCTGCCAAGATGTTATCGTTTCGAATTCTATGAACGACAACATCGGCATCTTGATTTCGACCAACCAAGACAACTCCCCTAGGTTGTTCTTCTCGAAACTCTGGGGCTTCTAGCCTTTCGACCCTTGCCCCTGGTTCCATAATTTCTCTTTGTGGGCCTGGGATTATTGGGGCTTCTAACCTTGGTGCCCTGGCCCCTAAGTTAACTTCTTCTCTGGGTGGTCTATAAATTGGGTCGTTAGCAATTTGTTCTATAACAGACATGTTTGCTCGAAATCCCGCCTGATTCTGCCTACGCCTTTCTGGGGGAGCAAAGAAATCTGCTATTCGACTCATGTTGTCAGCGTTTTCCCTGTTTGTCACAGTCACATTTTGCACTATTGGGGCAAATATCTCCTGCATGGTTTGTGCTAACACCCCTATCATATTATGGTTACTGTCATCTATCAATTGCCTAAAAGCCAACTGGTTTTCTGTGGTTAAGATAGGCATTATGCTATAACCCACTGACCCTTGGTTATTTGTCATAAACTGATTCGCCCCAGACCCAGACCCTAGTTGTGGGGATGAATTCGATGTGGAATTGTGTAAACCTGCCATAAAAGATGTTGGCATTCCATAAGAGGAATTTCTGGTTCTATTTCCATCGAAACCGGGTGGTCTAGTTAATGGAGTGGCGAAATGGGATTGTGTCCCTGATGGTGGAACGAATCCCCCAGGGTAACCAATGGTTCCAGTATTTCCTAAGATCGAACTATTAGTTGATATGCCACTTACTCCATTGGTGGCTATATTACTGGTTGAAGATGCAACAGACTGTGCATTCAAAGGGATCACATTAGATGTTCCGATCGAAGTGGACACATTAGTGCCTGTTGTATGTGGGGCATTTTGTTCCCCTTGTTGATTGTCAGAATTAGACATTTTGTCCAAACGTTTTCTTCTGGATAAAGGTTGGTTGCTGTTGGTTATTTTACCACTTCTCAGGTTCATAAAACAGCAAACTTCTTAGGTTCCAACGTTTTTATAATGGTTATGTCTCAACAATCTTTATTTCTAATATCCAATTATTGGTCACACTAGGTGTGCCAAATTGTTTCCAGTGATTTCTGGTAAACAACCGCTAGTCTTCCAAACTATCGAATAATCTTTCTGACTGTTATTCAATTCCTCTGGTAACTCACAGGATCGACTAGATTGATCCTAGGATTCCTTGGTCATTAGGGTAACTCTCATGATCGAACAGATATTCATGGTTGATATTTGAGTGTTGTATAGGTGTTTGGCTTATTTCGATTTCTCTCTTAAAGGTCTAAAGATGTAATCAAAATGTGCGTGTACGAAACTAAGTTGCATGAATAAATGTTAATTGTAAAGACATGTAAAATTGCATAAAAGGCAAGCAAATGGTTTCGAATTATAAAAACAGTTAATGTAAAGGATTTCTGGAACGTAAAAGGTTTGAAATATGAAGAAAGCGTTTAATGCAAGAAATCTGTAAATGACTTTAAGTAAAAATAGGCGTTCGAAAGATAAAGCTTGAAGGTAAAGGCATGGAAAATATGACAGTTTTCTGAAATGTAAAGTGCTTGAAATGTGAAGAAAGCATTGAAATGTAAAACTTTAATGAAGAGATTTCGAAGTGAAAAGACTGTAAATGAGAAAACTTATAAATGTTATTTGACGGAAAGATAAAGGAAAGTGCTGGAAATGGTAAAAGGTTTTCATTAAATCATAAATATATGGTGCTATCATACGTACATTGCTCTTGCATTCGTTTCCCTTGCCATGTGGTAGTTTGAATGTTACTGAGTATTTAGTACAATAGATATGACACACGAAATCCTAATACTAAGACTTCTATTTATACTAATTCGACCATAACGGTCTTGCTATAGGATTATGCCACGTTCAAAACAATGCCTTTTTCTTCTTTCCACGTGTCTCCAAATGCTCCAGCACATAAATTTCAAACTTCGAATGTCCCGCTTCCATTTGAATTTCAAATGCTTTGGTATTTCTCCGTTTCGAACGCACTTCCCAGACACAGCCTTGTTGTTATTTCGAGACTTCTTTAGATATGTTCCCATAATTGCCACTCGAAGCTCCAGCTTTGACATGTTTACTCGAAACACTGTTTCTGCTACTTCGAAACATGACGCTTTACTTCATTTCGATCGAAACATTTAATTCATTTAGCTTCTAATAATATTATCAAAATCTTCAGCCAACAACAGGATGGTGTTGTGTTGTTAGCTTTGATGACAACATTGAATGTTGGTGGGAAACGAATGATTGATTAATTAGCAATAGTTAGTGATTTTCCTGAGGTATTTCCTGAAGATGTAAGTGATTTGCCTCCAGAGTGTGAGGTGGAGTTTAGGATCGACTTAGTGTAGTATTTGAGTGTGCCTTCTGGTCTTTCTTCCTCAGCGCCTTCTGTGCTACCTTTTGTGCCTCTGTTGCGTCTGCTTCTAATAAATTATAGTCATCGGTGACAAGATCTAACACATCTTGAGAACCAAATAACACGCGCATCTAGATTTTTCCAACGATTCCAGTTTTTGCCACCAAATACTGGAAGCTTGGAATGGATATCGTCGTCGTTTTCGTTCATCTTCTACCTTGTGCAGTTTACGCAGAAACTCAATGAAAAAAAAAGTTTCCCAAATCCCAGAATTTCTATCAATGAAACAATGTTTCTCAAATTCCAGAGTTTCTAACCAAGAGCTCTAGATACCAATTGTTGGTACACAAGGAAGATAAAAGACAAAAGGAATATTTATGATGAATTACAATAACCTACTCCACTAGACTATTTATAGACAAAATTAAATCTAAAATATATCTTCTAACAAAGATATAAGAAGGTCTAATATATATATATATATATATATATATATATATATATATATATATATATATATATATATATATATATATATATATATATATATATATATATATATATATATATATATATATATATATATATATATATATATATATATATATATATATATATATATATATATATATATATATATATATATATATATATATATATATATCTTCTAACAAAGATATAAGAAATCTAAAAAATATTCATAAATATAAATTAATATCTAATTAATTATAAAATCTAAATTAATTCTAACACTTGCGATCCTTTCTGGTCTCTCATCAAAACTATTAACGAGTCTTCCATTTCAATATTTGTTACACCCTTTTTTAAGTCCTCTCTTTTGGACTCTATACTAATATATAAATTGATCGAATTCTTTGTATGCTTTTGTCATTTTTTTCTCTTGACCAACTTGAAGTAGTTTTTGAAACATCCAAAAACATTTCGTCCTAACATGCCTATAAAATATGCATTCTTCAATTTGATCAAAAGCCTTCTCACAAGCAACGTTAGGAAGTTCAATAGAAAGACAATTGGGATCACATCCGAGAACTATTGAACAAATGTTGTCAAATGTGAAACGATTGAACACATCTTGCAAATCCACCACCGACCCTTGTTGTTGAAAATGGTCCAACAAAGGAATCAAACTTCTTTCGAACTTGTTTTGTATGATTTTCTCTTGGAAAAATTCAAAGCCTCTTTGTTTGAAAAGAGAGTGAAAAAGAGATCTATTGTATTTCCATGTCTCTGAATCTGCGATAAAGATCCCATTTTCAAAAGCTTCAAAAATATCACGAAACTCGTGACCTTTAACGTAATTGTCAAAACATTTGCTAAGAATGTGATGCATGTTGATGGGATCACTAGTAAACAAATAGTTCATGTTGGTAAACCAAGGCCCCATGAACTCAGCAGTGCCTCTATGGTGTTTTTTCAATTCTTCAGTTATGAAATCATGATGATTCCGTAAATTCCAAAGAATTTTGGGTAACATGCCTATGACACATACATTTTTGTCTATGGTGGTGGATTTTTAAGATGACGAATAGGAAGAAAAAGAGTGCACAAAGTATAGTCGTAGAACTCAACATGGCTTATTTGGATTTAAATGTCTCTGGCTTTGCTCTATATATAAATATTGTATGGAGGAATTTTTTAGTTTCTTACGCAACATATTGTACATCAAATAGATTTTTAACTAACTTAAAAAACCCTCACAAGAGGAAATAATATCCAACTCAACTTGATACATTATATTGCTTTTCTAATTTGATCGAAACGTAACTTTGTATTTATTTTAGTAAGTTCACAACAAATATTTAATTATATTATTTTAAATGAAAAATAAAAAATAAAAACAATATATATACTACAAAAAATTCGCTTGATTGTGAGGGTCATTGGTGGGAGGTTATTGTAAACCCCCATAAACTAGTATATATATGTGTCATAGATTAACAAATACTGGTTTAATTTAAGGGGATTAAAAATGTCCGTCAAATTTAAGTAATATTTTATATTATCACCACGGCTATTTTGTAAAACCGTTGTTACACACTGACGCTTCTTTATATATATTAAACACTAAGTATCCATTTTTCCACTGATAAAAGAAACAACCCTAACACCAACGCTGTCAACATCGTCGGGAAGAAGACAACAACACCCACACTCATTGTTGTTGTCTAGTTTCATTTCAATGTCGCATTTGAAGACAAACTCATCCAAAAATGTTACTATGTCTTCTTCCACTGTAAAATCTCGATCTGGAAATTTCTGTGGTTGTGATAGTCATATAGTTTCATACCAATGCAAGAAGGGACAAAAGAAAGGATGTTTTTTTTAGATGTCTATTTTGGAAGAGTGATGAAACATATAATTTGTTCATATGGGATGAAAATATGAGAGAATTTGGAAAATAAAGATGAGAGTAATATGATGCCAGAGTTGGAACCTGTGGGCTATTTGAAGGTTATGTATGAATATTAAAAAAAAAAGAATTTGAAGAACAAACTGAAGTCGAAGAGATTTTCTGACTTTGTTATGAAATGTAATAGTTGAAGTAGGGTTTGAAATTTAAAAATGTTATGTTTTCTTATCTCCTTTGTGTTTAATATTTAATAGTTGAAGATGCAGTGAACTTGACAGAAATGCAACTAACATACGGTTTTTTACGAGTAAGTTCATCGCAAACTGTTGAATTTTCAATTACAATTATGTGTTTTATATATTTTTGTAGTTTCAGCTGGTAGTTTAAGTTGATAGTTTAAGTTGAATGTTTAAGTTGATAACCTTAAGAGAGTTAAGAAGAAAGATTAAAACTTCATTACACAAAATTTTAATTACATGATCAAAAAGCATAATCAAATCTTAATCCTCTTGTTGAGATAAAGTTAGACCAATCATAGTCAGTCTCATCATCATAATCGAAAAAAATTATCATTTGTCTTCTCAACCTCCTTCTTCTTCTTCTCCTCACCCAGAGAGTTCTCATTAGTCTAAACACAACACCCTCTACAACAACTTCTTGAATCTGAAGATAGTTTTGCACCACAACACCCTCTACAGAAACATCTTGATTATGAGGTTGATTTTGCACTACAGCACCCTCTACAATAACATTTTGATTCTCATCATTGTTGGTAGCTTGAGCAAGATAATACATGTTGATTCCTTTGGATGAAGTTTTTTTTTAGTTTTGATTCTTCCGCTTTTATATTGTTCCTAATAATTCTTCATCTTCTTCTCTTTGAAGTTTAAAAACCAAAGATGCTCATTATTGTTTCTTTAATTCTATACAATTTCTCTTCTCTTGGATGTTGGAAAGATTGCATACCTCAAATTTTCAAATTTTGATGTACTTAATGAAATTGTGTACTTATAATATAAGTTTTGATATCAATTCAAAAATGGTTTTGTGCAGATTATGGTATGATAAGATTGACATTTATTCATATACAATATCACAACGGTTAATAGGAATAACCGTTGTTATAAGGCGCTCGATTTCTAGTTTACTACGACGGTCACTAGACCGTGATTGTAAGTATCGCATATACAACCACATGCTACATAACAATGTCTGGTCCCGTGTGGTTATATATCTTTTCCAACCGTTGTTAAATGTCTTTTCCATAGTAGTGATTCACTCTTATTTTTCTCATTCTCTCTCAACAAAAACACTTTTCCTTAACCTAGAAATCCATTCACATCTCTTATGCCTTGCCGTCTGCGTCGCATGTTATCCACGACCTTCTGTTCGTTACTCCATATTATCTTATTAACCCGTGCACCCTCAAAAGTAAGTTATTTCTCATTAATTCTTCATTTTTACCTCATCGATCGAAAAAGTTTCTCTTGCCATCGTGTCTTTTGAAGGAAGACTTATTACATAGGAAAAACTTGTATTGTTTAGCCGTAAGACACTCTTGTTGTTGTTTCTATTTCATCTTTTCCTTCGCTAAGTTCTCTTCACTTCACCTATAATTTGATTTTCTCCAAATTTCTATTTGATATCCTAACTAGTAAGATATTCGTGTTATCGCACGAATCCCGTCGAGATTCATATTACACGCCGCTATATCTCATTTATCAACTTTAAAATTTATTTTACAAATCATAAATATTCACAGAATTACAAATATAAATTAATAATATGTATAAACCTTTAGAACCCGTGTGTCTGTTTATAAAAATATTTGTAACATTTACTGTTTATAAAAATAATTGTATCAGAATTTTTTCGTTTATATAAATATTTTTTAATGTATTCCTATTTATAAAAATAATTGTATCCACAATAGACTTTTCTTATTTATAAACATATTTGCAACTTATTCTCGTTTATAAAAACATTGTAACAACAAGATACTTTCAGTGTTTAAAAAATATTTTTAACGTAGTCTCATTTATAAATATAGTTGTATCAACAATATATTTTTTCTATTTTATAAAAATATTTGAATTTGTTCTCGTTTATAAAAATAATTGTATAAACATTCAACTTTTTCTCGTTTATAAAAATATTTGTAATTTATTTTCGTTTATATAAATAATTGTATCAACAATAAAATTTTTCTTTTTAACAAAATATTTTTAAGTTTTTCTTATTTATAAAAATAACTTTATCAATAGTACACATTTTTTTAATTAAAATATTTTTAATATATACCCGTTTATAAGAAAAATGTATCAATAATATACTTTTCGCGTTTATAAAAATATTTGTAATATATTTTCATTTATAAATATATTATATCAACAATAAAATTTTATTATTTATAATTTATTTTCATTTATAAAAATAATTATATAAAAATATTAGTAATGTTTTTCCATTTATAAATATTTTTATTAATAGTAGAATTTTATTTATTTATAAAAAATATTTATAACTTATTTTCATTTGTAAAGTTTATGATAATTAAAATTATTATATCAGAAATGAGGATTTTCGTGATTATTGGAACAGCTATGTCTCATGAGATTGTTAAGATTTTAGTGATTATTGGAAAGGTTATATTTCATTAGATTATTACTTTGGAACAGACTCGTTTCATGGCATTATGATTTTTCTGATTGAAATAAATTTATTATTATTAAATGGCAATTAAAGCACTTTATAACTTTTCAATAAGTTTAATATTACACGTAATGCCTTTTAGTTTTTCACAAAACTGAATTACTTTAGAATTTTTTCTATTAATAACCATATATTAAAATAATATTTCGCAAATAATTGGGTTTCGGAAAAAATTACGCAAATAACCATGTTTCAGATGACTCCCCAAAGGAGGAGCCATCTGAAATGGCGCATGCACCTAGCATTTTGTCCTAGGCGCCATCTCACTTGGCGCCTCCCTTGGCTTTTAGCTAAGTGAGATGGCGCATGTTCCTTAAAAGTGAGAGGAGGCGCCATCTCACTTGGCTCCTAGGGCAAAACTAGGGCAAAATGCTGTTTTATAAATAATTCGTCCGTTTCTCCGAAATTTCTCGCACTGTATTTTTATTTTGTACTCTGTTATTTGCGTCATGACGTCGCCTATGATTTTTAGCAGAGATGGTTACGTTATCTTCTCCGTCACGAAACCTGCGATGAAAATGAAATTCTGGCACATTCACTCCATGGAGCGTCTGAAGCGGGAGTTGATGTGATGGCTAGATGGAGACATTGCGGAGGGGGGGAAAATTCGAAGGATCCAGCGAAAACGAACAACAACCTCACATGCGACAGGAAGACCTAATGTGTGGTTGGAGGAAGTCAAAACAGACAGCGATGTAATGTTGATGATGCATGGGTCAGATGAAATTGTGTTAACAGTTGTAATTTCCTAGATGGAATATCGTCAATTATTTTTGTACGCGTTTTATTAATTGTAGCAAAATTTGTTAACAGAAAACCCAAATGTTTACAACATAATTATGAAAAGATTTTATGTATTACAATATTTATGTGGTCGAGGCAGACGCCCGATTCGGACAGTTTTTGCGATTGTGTCTGACCTGACGGCATAAACCACACTTTCTTTCCAACCTGTCAAGATCGTCCATTTCTGTTGTGATGCGCTTACTTTTGGGACGACCCTTTTTGTTCCTTCGCATTTGGTCATTGTGCCACACTATTTCACCGTCGTATTCAGGCCAATAATCTGGTTTTGCTACCAAAGGAAAGTTGTTGTTGTAAACGTTGAGCAACGTTTCAGATTTGTAAATGTTCGACAGAAGTTGCAGTGTGTCTTGATGGGTATGAGCACAAGCGGCAATGACATGAGAGCAAGGCATACGAAATGCTTGAAACCTGCCACAATCGCACCATTGAGAAGGTAGCATGACCCTATATTCTTGTCTTGGCAGGCCTTCATTGTGGTCAATTGTCTCTTTCACAATGAAGTTGTGGCTGTGTCAGTCAAACCGTATAACCATGTGAGTGTTGGCTTTAGCACTTTCAGCCTTAATGTATTTCATGCAGCTTTCACTCCATAGTTGTCCAGATTGCAACACCGCATTCCACATTTCACCTTTTTTGGCAAATAACGCAGCCATCCTAAAATACGTAGATTTTACCAAGGCAGTGATTGGGAGGTTTCGTATG